GGCTCCTGGCATCGCTACTAGGAGCAAGGACGCTACTAGGGGCTCCTTATGCTCTGCTCATGCTCCAGTTGGCCTTCCAAAGTCCTCTGGTTTCTTCCGGTTCCATTATGTGACGTGCTTTTTGAAACCCACCTGGTGTTGCAATCTGTCCTCGGCCCATCCACATCCACATTCTGCTGCTTCAGTGCCTGGGGAACAAGCACCCCACAGCTACCAGCTCAGCGACCACACAAATGGTTTTCCACTTTTAGGCCGTGTGATTGGGTGACGGTAAGCCTGGTATTCTGGTCCAACTTTGGGGAAGGCAAGCCAGGGAAGTCCCTCGTCACGTCAAGAACAGAAGTCTTTCTGTGTGCCCTGAAAACAACGGGGACTAATAGCGATGGCCAACTGCCCGTCCTGCCTTGATCGATCCTGCTTCTGTCCCAGAGCTCAGCTCCACCAAATACCTTGTCTCATCCTGAAGCGAGTCCAGCGAGCGAGCCGTTAACATCCTGAAGTCAGCTGTGGCCCTTGTTCCTAGTAGCGTCCTAGTAGAAATGCCCTTTGCTCCTACTAGCGTCCTTGCTCCTAGCAGCGATGCCAGGAGCCCCTAGTAGCGATGCCCTTTGCAAGTTCGGTCACATTTGGGCAACTCTTCAATCCGACAAAAACTGCTCTGTCCTGACCGACAATGGTACCACTGCAGCCATTCCTTGCACTCAAGGGAACAGTATGTGTCATGAGTTAGGAGCCAGTACAGTCTCGATATGCAATGTGAGAAGCCAGTCTCAACACCCACTACGTCGTCACTGCGAGCAACGCATCTCAGAATCTGAGTCAAAGGCAAATGTTTTTGGCTATTCAAGCCTTTGATGGACACCTGGCTTCCTAGTGCGAGCTGCGGCAACGTTGGCCGTGTCTCAGATCGAGCAGGTGTTGGTGTAGCACTGGGCGTCACGAGTGGAGGCATCTCGTCCTCACCTACAGGCTAAGGACAATTGTCAGTTTCTTCAAGCGGAAGAAATAGCAAGGTCTACAGAAGCCATGCTTCTTAAGTACAAATCTGAGAAACCAAAATCTTGAGACACCAAAAATCTGTTCACCTTCTTCAGCATCGTGGCGCCATTTGAAGCCTTTCAAATCAGACCTGGTGCAACCAATCATGTCAACTGGGTGCACTGTTTGCTACGGAGGATTAGGGGCTGGCCTTACTACTAGGAGCAAGGACGCTACGTTCGGGGCTCCTGGCATCGCTACTAGTAACAAGAAGCTACTAGGAGCAAAGGGCATCGCTACGAACGGAGCAAGAAGCTCTGAACGTAGCAATCTGAACTCTGGACATCAAACACGAGTCTGATTTGTTGCAAATTCCCACACTGTGCTTGGCAAGGTTCCACTTCAAAAACACATCATTTGTTTGATTCGGACAACACCCATGTTCCAATAACGAGCTTGGTGACGTCATTGATTATTTACACTCAACTTTGCACCCTCCAATGAGCGCGGGCTGGTATCATGTGGAATCACGCATGCTACAGAAGTTAATGTGAACACTTTGTGCCTTGGCTTCTGGTAGTGCAAGCGCTGGCTGTTCGAAAAACCTGTGACGCCTGCGCGCAATCACTGCTTGGAAGGAAACAGTTAAGTTGGTGAGGCCCTCTTTTGGCACCTAGGACCTACCACTGGAATTCTTCTCAACCCTTGTAGAACCATCAGTTGATCAAATCCCTTCCAGAATGAATGGATTGGATGGTGCGCTCTGCAACAGCGTTGCTCTGCGAGATGTACTCCTTCGATGTGATGTGCCGCCACCGGCCCAGCGTTTCAAAGGCACTGATTCAGTTTTAGGATACATTAAGACACCTTCTTCGGTCGTCCCTGCCTTGATGCATCTTGGATATCTTTGCAAGCAAGTCGGATGTTAACAAGTCAAACTATTCAGGTCAGCTTATTTGATGGCTGTTTGCACTGGAGGCTTCTGAGGGTAACCAGGATGTACCAGGGTATGAAGAGGCAACTTGCTTGTTTGGTTTGTTCACCACGAGCCTTGACTGGTGCTGGGTGCGACCGATTCGCTGGTCGACTAAAGTGACAGTGAGTCAGTGAATGCGAGAATCTGGCAAGTTTGGAGCTTGGGTCATCGCTTTTACATGTGGCATGGCTCCAAATGGCTCCAAGCTACTTCGAGCACAAAGGGCTCCAAGGCTTGTCAAGGCTTGTCAGCGGGCCTTTGAGCTTCCTACAGCTTCCTAAGTCCTTCTGGGCATCGGATCTCTGATTGATCTATTAATGAAAAATCAAACGTGAAAAGGTTTGGGGGTTGTTTTTCGCTTCTGATCGAGTAGCTTGAATTTTTCTAGTTCAGTCCAAGATCTCAGTAGCATGATCTAGTGCTTAGCAACATAATGTGTCCATAATTTGCTCAGAAAATCATAATCGTGGGTCTGCAAGCACTCTTTTTGCCCTCAAGGAGCCTGATTCTCGCCCAGATCAAGAGTGATCACCTACATGGTCACAAAATGCTTCAGTGTTCAAACCATCCAATTGGGATTTTGAGTTTTGGACATGACACGCACCTGAAGACTGCATGTGTACCATATTATGCAAACATCGCCCAACATAATCAGATCACAGCACACAGCCAGCAACGTCCAAAGCTGTGTTTTCCAGGACGAATTTCGCTGAGACACACGCAAAGCCTCTTGCAGCTCTTTAGCTGGAGGCAAAATTTGGCTCGAGGACTAAGACTAAAGGCTTGGTTCGTGCAGTTATCTTATCTCCGAAGATCTCAAAAGGCTGGTTAAAAAGCGCATCAGTCCAGTACATCCCCGATGGAGGAGCCGGCGGGGCGATGGGGTAAGTGATTCGGCCGGAGCAGTTGGGCAGATTGTTCGTGAAAATCCACGCTGAATGCTTGCTGTTGGGAGGGCCGCGTTGAAAAACGAATTGATCTTTGCTACCAAAACGCACTTGAGCACTTGCCTTCGCTAGGCGTCTTTCCTTTCGGATAGCATTCATACGGCTCAGCAGGCGATATTGCCAGGCGTCTCGTCTCCTGAAACAAAGCAACGAGAACCCCTCTCAACACATTTCTTTTTGCAAGATTACACATATTCACTCATATTCACACATTAAAGCAAAACACAAAATAGAAAAACAAAAGCACATGTATTTAAAGGGGTCAGTTGTCCATCCATATTGCCAGAGAGACATCCGGTAGACTGAGTTGCCTTGCTCATCTCCCCACGCAACTACAGGCATACCCTTCGCAAACATCAGCCAGGCCCATCCATTTAAGAGCAAGCTTTCGTCATCCTGACAACCGCCGGTCCCCGGAGAAAAAGGTCCAGCAGAGATGTGGTACAGGCCAGCAATAGGCGCATCATCTTGATTGTCCATCATGTTCATAAGCAAATCAGTGTCAGAATATAGGTTGCTCGTCAACTGCAATTCGCTAGCGCTTGCGAGGTAAGTCAGATCAAATTGTGCCACTGGCGAGAGAACAGAATTTGGCCAGCCACAGTATCCAGGCACCGCGTTGTAGGACAAGGGAAAATTCTCCAAACCACCCAAGATGGGTTGGCCATCTTTGTTCTGATAGGATGCGTGGAAGCTCATGTTGACAGTGGTCACCTCTCCCAAAATGCTGATGGGCTTGGAGAGAGACATCAACATCTCCTGCACTTCTTTCAGAAAATCATAGGGAAGATGAGGTGTGGTATCGAGGCGGATTCCATCCACGTCGAACTCGGTAGCCTGAAACACGCGGAAACCAAGAAGCAACATGCTGAAACCAACCCACCAACCCTGCTGAACCACTTGGGCTTCGCCCTGTAAACCACTTGTTCTTGGGCCAATCCGACACTAAGCTCCAGGCCATGTACTTCACCCAATCCTTCAGAAATTCTCGCACAAATGGGACAGATTGGTCCAGGTCGGCCAAATCGTAAAACCAGCCATCTTGAATGACCGTCTCATTGTATCCGCGGCAAAGATAATCGCCAGTTCCACAGTACTTCAAATGCGGTGGCCCATGAGCCCTTTCCTGAAAGTAATGTTCCTGTGAGTAGTTATTCTCAGGATAGTTGTTGCAGTAGGTACCGCTGTTGGTGCCATCCGGAGTACCATCCTTCCGCGTGTTCATGAGACATTGAGCCCCAGGACCCAGGGCTTGAATCGGAAAGGGCCAATTAGCACCTTTCTCGGCATACCTGGAAAGGGCGAGCCAAGGGGACCACGGTACCACCCGACCATAAAGGACGTCATAATCCTATCAGGATGCACTTGTTCCTAGTAGCGAACATTGTTTCTAATAGCTTCTTGT